CCCCAAAACCCCAAAACCCCAAAACCCCGTAAAGCTGAGAATCAATAATCAATAAATGCTAATTTTATGATAAAATATAATAAGAAATAAGATTATTTGATATCCAAAAGCAGTATAATCATAGCGCAATTTATGAATTTTAAGTCCTTACTTTCCCTTAAATGAATCAAAATTAATTTAAAGTCTTTCCTTTTTTATGTAGTTTTCTTAAAGTAAATCTGTTTTTATTGTTCTCTTCATTATCCATGATCTAAAAGTAACGAGATTAGAAAATGAAATTTTTTTAAGAGTTAATTTTAGTGTTTAGGAAGGTTAGCTTACTTCTTTGGGGATATTTTGCTAAGTTGTATTTTTAAAAGCATTATATTGCTGAAGATTACTAGAGCTATAATTTGGCTATTTTAATTTCTGAATGATAGTAGTTGGACTTGCATATACTGTAGAAAATTCTTGAAATTCTCTCTTTGTTGAGTCTAGTCTGTCTATCAAACCCTTCCTGTGTGAACTGTAAAGCTCCTAATTGTTTTACTTGAACTTTTTTACGGTAGTTTATTCTTGACTAAATGAAGTTATAGTTAACAAATTACAGATTAAACATATCTAGCCTGGATGGTTTGCTTCCAGTTGGTGTGCAAGATGCGTGATTGCCTTTTTTTATTTTCCTCGATTTATATTATTTGACTCTTGGAGATTTTTTAGGAGACATTGTTCCCTAGTGCTGTAACATCATGATAGTTGATTTTTAGTCCAAGTACTTTGTGAAGTTATCTTCCGAATCATCCTTTACATGCTTACCAATAATACTGCTAGGTGATTATGCACTTTGAGGGTTTTAGATTAGTGATTAAAGGATTTATTTATCTACTATCTTACTCGAAAACAAAATTTTTCTCAAGCTTTATTCCAAATCTCGATTGTCCAATTATTGAGTATTATACCTTATAAGCATGACATTCTTTGTCTCATACTTGTCTTGATTGATTACTATCTTAGACTTCTGCTTAATGATCTTTCTTTAGTAGTCCTATAGCAATATTCTCATACACATCTTTAGATATTCTATGTTCTCAACTACTCTTACGATATTAGTTTTCTTGTTAATTATTTTAAGTGCAAGGGTTTTCCGCTTGATATCTTCTGTCTAATAATACTTTTTACAATAATGATGATAGTTTCTGTAAAATCTGAAGCATATCAAACTTTTATTCAAATACCTCTACCTAGTACCAATGGATTATTATATTCTATGGAGAATGCTAAGTTTTAGTTGGCTAGTATTTATTTCTTAGGTTGAATTTTCTTCAATACTTGAATTCTTAATACCATCTTTTTCATTAAATACTTCTTCTTCCTTGTTCTAGGATTTTGCAGATAATTATTGTATCCAGCATAATCTTCCAATCAGCATTTATTTAAATAATTGAACTGAGTAAAATAGAGAGATTAATCTCGTCAACAGCAGGATAGTATTTGCAAAACCTCCAGAAGTAGAGAATATGTCCAATATAGTAAGCATTTTTCTCTCGATATAAACTTATTAGTCACTATTACTAAAAAAAATGGTAAATTGATCATTTATATTAGGCTTGACTACACCAACTGTATTAGCTCCTGCTTTTAAAGAGTAAAACTCATACTATTCCTAGACAAGATAATTAGAGAATGGGTTATCCCTGGTTGTTAAAATGTTTTTAGTTATTTCAAAAACCATAGAATAAGATTGATCATTTTTTAGGTTAAATGTTCCTATATTTATTTCTCTTTTTACAGGAGAATCTATAAACTCATCCTAATCGAAATAAGATTGCAAAAATGCCAAGTTAAAGGTTGAAATTTATTGTAGCAAATTTATTTATTCTGGAGTAGCGCATAATTCACTTTCAGTTAGAGTTGATAGATCTACATTAGTTTTGTTTTCACAGGGTCTAATTCGAAGGCGGATATTTGACCTTACATTGCTTGCGATCTGTCCTCTCAACTAAAAGTCTAATTTTTCTGGGCAGTACCAACCAGGTTGGTTGATTCCTAGCTCTTTTAAATCTCCTTAACTGTCCTAGAATCTTCCTAGCTAGCACTGAATCATATCAATTGAAGAAAAAGATCTCGTAGGAACTCTAGTTCCATCTTCATTATATTTCTATCCAAATTCATAATAAGTTGCATCTATCTTGTAATATCTGTTAAGGTTTTATTTCTCATAAAGATGACTTTATCCATCATAAAATACTAGACCTAGAGCTATGTCGAAATTTTCCAAGGTCACATGACTCGATTGATTGTTTCTGTTAGCTGTCATATGCACTGACTTATAGGTCACGATTTTTTATTGATCTATTACTTGCTTAGCTAAAACCAAGAAATAACATAGGATTCCAACTCAACTCAATATTGAAATGGCTCCACCTAAAGTAGTTTTGAATGTATTTGAATTGTTATAATTCAAGGAAATTGACGCACCTGTGCAGTCAAATTATTTAACAAAATTTTTCAGTTTCAAGCCAACTTTCATATGATTTAGTTCTTGAGAGATGTATTAAAAATCACAATAATCAAATTAATATTAAAAAATTTAGATAAAGCTACACTACATTTAAAAAAGCAAATATTTAAGTTGATAATTTGTGATTTCAAATCTACCAAGTAAAATATTCCTCTTTGTATACTTGCGGGGTTTTGGGGTTTTGGGG